CTAAGTCATGATACATTCTTAAAAATAGCATGCTTACTGCATTAAAGTAGCTAACCTCCTAGCTATGCAAATCTCCGGCAATCTTAATCCAAAGGATTATATATCTACGTGTATAGCATGCACACCCAATGGGACCAAAAGATGAAACTTAGAGATAGATGATGCATGCATGTACTGCTGACACCCATTACATGATAAAATGAATAATCATGCACACATGCATATTTAAGCATTAATATATAATACTTAGCTCAACTACTCAAGTAGTAGGTATTAGACAATCAACCATTGTTTGAGATGATAGCGGGCATTGGGGCTAGCAGTCAACACTCTGTTATTCTCCCCTTTAAGATCTGGGAGGTGGCTTCTTGGTACCACTAGTCTCTGAGCCCTGCATTTGTGTTAGAAATGTGACGAAAGGCAGATGCCAGCTTAGAAGGAGTCATGGCAGACGCTATCAAAATCATCTTATTGGGCGCGTCAACAAGGCAGAACCAGCGCAAGATGGGTCATCGTCGTGGCGTAATAACACCAGCGGTCCGGCTGCATCGCTTTATCACATCGCATTTCCAGTGAATCGCCGCTGATTCCAAATTTTCCAAACATTTACTACTTCAACAGATTCTCCGAAGCAGAGGGTGGAACACTTCTATTTCCCCCCACAAAATCCATTAAACTTAGTATTCCAACTTCCACCTTGAACACCTGCCACTGCTTGAATCTCACCAATCCCAACAGTTTTGAGGAAAGCTTTATAACACCATTGAGGAGAGAATGGTTGAGTTCAAGGATCCACATTGTTCGTCAGAGTGCCGAATCTCATCCAACACCAATGAAGCCTCCAAGTTTAATTTTTTAATGTTGTTGTAATCTCCGGTCTTCAATTCTCTACGGTGCAAACCAATTAAGGGTTGCAAAACACCATAGATACATTATTTTCACTTTTTATCAGCAAAAATTCGCTTCTATATTGTTGGAGAATATAAGCTGATAATGTGAAAATAAGAAGTGATGTGTCGTGGTATAACCACTGCCATATAAGCGAATTCGCCGCTACCGGTGCAGGCTCACAACAGCGGCGTCGGCCCCCAAAGGTTAACACAACAATCCCCGTTCTCCGTACACCCGGAGCAGGGATTGGAACATACCCAACATTCTCAGAGTAAAAAGGGAACAAAAGAGTTAACAAGACAATGTTTGTCTGTGTATCCTAACTCAATAGTACCCCACCTTAAATAGTAAAAGGCCAAATAATTAGGACCATATACTGCCTAAAAAATCTTGGCCATTCACCACCTTGTGATGAATAGTGGACCAAGACTAAGTTATCAGTAAAATATTGGCCACACTTGCATTTTCCCAACATGCTCCTCTCCCTATCTATTTATACATGCACCTCCCAACTCCATTTCTAACGTTTGGGAATCAAATGCTTTGGTGTGTTTGGTTCATGGGTTTACATATTGTAACACCCCCCAAAAAACAAGGCTCAATTGAAGCCCTAACACAAGCAGATTAACAACAAAACTAGCACAGCGGAAGATAAACGGAAACTAGATAAAAGAAATCCAAAAAGGGGTGTTATGCCACGTATACCACACTAGGTAACGCTAAGGCAACAATCTGCAAGTGTATAATACTATCCCAATACATCAAACTAAACAGTCTAAAAACATTGGCGCACAGGCCACAAAAACAAAACGGTGCTAAGCTACCAGGCTCTAGACATCGCTCTCGTCTAAACACCACCTGAAAGATACAAAGATAAACATTGGGACGACGCCCGGTCAGCGAATAATGCTGGTAACCCACCAATACCGTTAAGTATCATAAATAGGTAGATATAAGATATAAAAATCATTTTCGAAACGGAATACATATATATAAGTCAAAAGCCAAGATCAAAAGACAACACAAGACTCACCACTCACAAGGATAACATCGGGAACACATCTCAACCACAAAGGTTAACCACACACAAGGATAAAGACTCACCCAACGGCAACACATGCCAAAACACCACAAGCCTCCGTGACTACACACGTCACGAGAGAAGATCACACAACGTCGGCTTTACAAGCCCTCGCGACATCACCCATCACGAGTTTGGTATGCCTTCCTTATGCCGTGTTCCAACCTTATGGCTACCCCCAACCTTGTACCTTTTTTCTAACCATTACCTCCAGGATCCCCTGTACAGCCAAGTCCAACCTTATTCCGCCGGGACCGTCGTCCCCCACCTATAACCACCAACGAACCACCACCAATCACGGCAACACATGCCCGGATAACACATGTTATCCCCCAATCACGTGGACCCATCACTCAGGCTACAACTCCATAATCACGTCACGGCCACCACGAGGACCGCTGCAATACCTTGGTGACTAGTGTCCCATACCACTAATCGTGCAATCCAGGTAGAGCCACACACGCACCACAACTCAACAGGAATCAATCAAAGGATTGTAACGAAGGTATGAAACATACTCAATCAAGGAACGGGTCACAGCCCAACAACAACAACGATGAATAACACAAGTTATCATCAACCAAACGGAAGGTACAAACCACACACACGCTAGCATTAAGACAACAAACTAGCATGCTTATCAACGGGGAAACTCAAGATAGTTCCGAGGAACAAACAAGACACCTCTTGGTCCAACGAAGCACAATGTTGAACACTTAGCACGAATCAAGACACCAAAGACCCTACATGGATACCTACCATATAGTTCTAGACCTATGAAACATCAAGAAGACACTCAAATAGTTCCACAAAAGAACATCGGGAAGCCAAAAGATCAAACACCACGACAACTAAATCACGGGGAACAAATCCCAACATCACCACGACCATGTACCCGCGGGTGGACCCACGGGTAGTGCCCCACCCGTGGTCCCGCCCGCGGGAACAATATCCCACGAGGCTGTGTACCCGCGGGTAGGCCGGCGGTTGGTGCCCCGCCCGCAGTTCCGCTCGCGGGAACATACCTGTTCCGCAACAAATCCCTTCGGGGATTTTCTTCTCCAAACACAAATTCAAGTCCAAAACATGCCAAATCTCACCAAACACAACAAAATGACTTGAACCAAGGAAAATGCCAAGCAATGACACAAAGGAACCCTAAACACAAGCTGTAGATATGCAATATCACAAGATAAATGCATAAAACCCTCACATTTCATAGCAAAAACACAAGTAGAATCCAAGAAATCACATATAGGTAAGCAAAATAGGTTTTGTAGAGCATGGGTTACCTCTTGAAGACCAAAAGACTTCTCTTACACCACAACAAGCTCTCCACTAGGCTCACTTCTCAAACCCACTTCAAGATCAAACCAAAAGATCATAAAGATCCTACCTTTAAGAAAAAGACAACTAAAATGGAACCAAAAAGACTAGACAAGCTTAGATCTTACCCTTCTAGATGCCCAAATAGGTGAAAGGTTGAATCTTGGAAGCAAAACTTGGAATCTTGACAAGGGTCTCAACTTGGCTTGGAGAATAAGCTACACTTCTATTCTAGAGAGAAGGTAGAGATATTTTTCTAGGAATTGTAAGGAATGAAATGAAGAAGTCTTCTAGGTTAGGATACAATACTAACTCTTGGTGAAAAGACAAGGCTACCCTTACTAACCCTTAGAAAGTGTAAGGAACAAGAAAACTCCTCTCTAAGCACAAGGTACAACACAACTTAAAAATTGACTAGTCAAATACTAGTCCTTGAGTATTAAAAATCAGAATTTTAGGAATCAATTCCTCAAAAGAATTAGAATTAATTACTCAATTAATTCATGGATTGGAGTGTAAATTTTTGGGGTGTCACACATATTAAAAAATGAAATTCTTAATTAAAGCGATAATCAAATTCTACAATTGTATTTTAAAAAATTGTCCCAAAAAAAAATGGGTGAACTAAACGAGTAAACGCCACTCAAGGGTATTACCAGGAAGGCAATTCAACTAAATATGTGGCTTCACCAGTGTCCACATGTTCCAATTACGTGCAGCCTCGTAATCTCCTAATCTCCTATATTGCAATCAATTTCTAGGTGACCGGACTTCCTTAATTTACTATTTGGCTATATGACTTTCTTGTTAATTTGTGTTAAAGCAATTACTATTTTTTTTAAATACTATTAACTCTATTACAAAATAGTATCTATTTTATATTTTTTATATTTTTTTTAACTGATGCAGTTCAAAGAGAGTCAATACCTTACCATCAGAATTCGGTCTTGTGACATTTTCTTAAGAAAAACCACAGAGGTCTAAGCACACGGTACTTGACGCAATTAATATTTTTTAATCAACTAATAATAATTTTTATTATTTTTCTACTGTAACTACTCTGTAAGGTAATGTATCCGGTCAACAGGTCACTGTCTCAATATTCAGACTCCACTTTGCAGAGACAAGATTCCCCAATTGTTTTTCATTAATTTTTGTTTTCAAATGATATACAAAATATTACTCCGTACAAGAATTTTTATAATACTATATACGGCGTAACATTTTCTTTTATATTGCACTAACATTTGCATCAAACCCAGGCATATTTTACTTAAGCCCTATCCATGAGTAATTGAGTATACGTGCAATCACAAATTCGATGGTGTACTCGGTAGACTTTGTCTTGTGACCTTAACTAACAAAAAATTATAAGGAAATAAATTAATTTATGTTGCTCACAATCGACTCAAACCAAGAAGGCTAATATGTCACTCTTCTTAGGCTTGTAACAGTCTAAACAACTTGGTTGGTGTTGGCCCAATAAAGAGCTCAATTAAATTACTCTAAAAAATTTTCCAAATCTTCTTAAACTCATTTTAAGGTACTATTAATCGGCATTTAATTTGGTCTTGAGTCACTGCCTCTTCTCACATATTCTGTCGGGACTCGGGACATAAAGGGTCCTCTGAGTTGAAGATTCAACTCTTTTGGAGAATGGTACTATTAATATTTTATTTTGTGCTTAAAAAAAGTCAATTCCATCATTGAAACAGCAAAACTATATATATTTTTTTTGATAAAAACTTTAAAGAAGTGGAATGATTAAGAGGAAAGAAATAAGTTATTTTGTGCATTCACCATTAGCATTGATGCTGCTAGTGCCACCTTGCCATGCCCAAACAATGTCTTTCAATGCCGGCCTAGCTTCCTCCTCACAAAACCTATTGTACTCCAACGTGTCGCCGGACGACTTGGAGAACTCCACCACCGTTACCTCCGGCGCCACCTTGAACACCTCGGCGGTCACCATAAGTGGCCCTTTCCGGCCGCCGTCGGGGCCTTGCATCTTAACCTTGAACGGCTTTACCCTCAAGATCTTAAACCTTAATCCCTTAGCCATTTTCTCAATTTTCCCAACCACATCTCTGGCCGAACTCCTCGACGTAAACATGGATGACGCTTTCCCCTTTATCTCAAACAGCCCGGAAAGATCGAACCCCGACGACATCGACGAGATCAACTCGAAGGCGTTGAAGAACGCCGGCGACGACGGAGACTTCCGGAGTGCCGGTGGATCAAATTCTCGCCGGGATTCTTCTTCTTCTTCTTCTTCCTCTTCCACTTTTTCCGACGATGCCAGAAAGGATTTTGGCACTGTTAGGTTCTTTCTGAACCATGGAGATCTCATTACGGCTGGGATTGTAGCTCGTCTCCCCGGATCAGCCATTAAAAGCTTGGAAATCATCCGGCGAGACTCCGGCGAGAACCACGCCGGGAACTCATACTCCGCCTTGAAAATTTTCCGGTACATATGCATCATGTTTTCATCTTGGAACGGCAAGAATCCGGCTAAGAGAACGTATAATATAACCCCACACGACCAAATATCCGCCGTGGCGCCGTCGTACCCTTTCCGTCGCAACACCTCCGGCGCCACGTACGCCGGCGTCCCACACTGAGTATGGAGCAAACCGTCGTTCCGGAGCTGCTCCGGCAAGGCGGACAGCCCAAAATCCGAGATTTTCAAGTCGCCGTGCTCGTCGAGGAGGAGATTTTCCGGCTTGAGGTCCCGGTGGTAGACGCCGCGGCTGTGGCAGAAATCCACGGCGCTGACCAGCTGCTGGAAATACTTCCGGGCGACGTCTTCCCGGAGCTTCCCTTTGGCCACCTTAGCGAACAACTCCCCGCCTTTCACGTGCTCCATCACGAAGAAGATCTTGGTCTTCGTGGCCAGGACTTCCCGGAGCTCCACCACGTGAGGGTGGCGCACCAGCCGCATCACCGCAATCTCTCTCGTGATCTGCTCCATCATCCCTTCCTTCTTCACCTGATCTTTGCTCAGCACCTTGATCGCCACGCCGTCGCCGGTGGCCACCTCTTTGCCGTAGTAAACCTTAGCAAAAGTGCCTTTGCCCAACAACCGGCCTTTCTCGTATTTCCCGAACAACATTTGACTCTCACCCATGCTCAATCAATCTAATCTCCACACAATTGAACCAAATCAAAACAAATTTCTAGCGATTCTTCAACTATCTTTGAAACCCATATTTGGAAATTAGGCTAGAAGGGTAGTGAGATCATCAAATGGGATTTGAATTGAATATGGTCATGATTCTTGGGGTGAAAATTAAAGGTTTTAGCTTTAAGAAAAAAAAAAAGTTCGAATGGATCAATAGGGATCGGAGTTAAGAAATTGTAGAAGAGAGTTAGGAAGGAAGAAGGAAATTAGTTAAGTTCTGCTGGTTTCTAAAATGGTGATGTGTCCTTCCAAAAGTCCAACGGAGCTCGAACCCAAGTGCAATTTATAGTAGTTACTTAATATGCTACTGTTCCAATAATTTGCCTTTAATAATTTTGATGTGGGCCATGTGGCAAAATGAGATGAAATTATATTACAAAAAATGTTTTTTTTTTTTTTTTTTTTTGGCTTTTTTAACTTCATTGGTGTTACTCTCTCCGTCTCATTTTATATGTCGAGATTTGATTAACGAGACTTGACTGAAATTAATTATAATTTAATTTTTTGTAATACTAAGTTTAAAATTAGTATGTAAAATTTATATATTTAGAAACTACATTAAAAGTACTATTAAACACAAAAATTTAAATTTAAAAATTATAAGAAAATGCTAATAGAAATAAACAAAGAAGAAAGCATTGCTTTGACCAATGAATATAACTAATGAATAATAAGTAGGAAATATAAAATGGGATAGAGGGGGTATTAAGTTAAATGATCACCTAAACAAAGAAAAATTGAATAAATAATGCATTTTTCTTGGGCGGAGGCCAATAAAGACCAAGTCTAGCACCCAGTGGCAGAGAGATTGTTGGGCGGAGGCCAATAAAGAGGTTAGGGCCAAGTCCAACACCCAGTGTCTGGAACAATGTGATAGCGGTTTATAAAGAAATAAAATTGCACATTCTCTACTAGCTATAGCTTTTGGCACTTGATCTTAACAAGTGGTCTCGTCACGGGTTCGAGTCCAAGTTGCGCATGCGCTTGATCCAAAATATTTTTATTGGTCAAAAGTATGATTTGACATTTTTCAGATTAGATGAAAATGCAGTGAAAAGTGAAGGGGTACGTTACCATCACCATTCTTATAGCATTTGAAGGAGTAACATTATTTGTACTATCACTATGCTCCATTGTTTTTTTTCTTGTGTTGGATTACTTGCATGTTTGTTTAATTTAGAAAAAAAACTTGTATCATATTTAAAAAAAAAAAAAAAGTTATTTCTTCTGTTTTATTTTTTTGTCATATTTACTATTTATTAGTCAATTTAACTCTTTTTGTTATTTAAACATTTTTTATAATTTTTAAATTCAATTTTTGTGTGTTCATTAGTATATTTATGTAATTTCTAAACATATAAATTTTATGATTAACATTAAGTTAAATATTACAAAAAATTAAATTATAAATAATTTCAGTCAATTGTTAATCGAATCAAATACATAAAATAAGATAAATGGAGTACTTTTTTCTCATTCTTCCAAAAGGTTGAACCCCAACCCTAAGGGCCCCCACACTCCGGCCTGACAGAGCATTTGAGAGAATATAAATCATGGTAACTCGATCAACTGAACATGAACCACAGAGGCTAAACCTTTACTTACTGTGCACAATGAACCTCCTTCACTTTGAGAGGTTGCTCTCACACTGCCGCCGGTGAGGAGTACTTTTTTCTCATGAATTTACTTTATAATGTTCATTTTTATGTAACAATAAAACTCCAAATATTTATTGGTAATCCATATATAAAGTGGGTGACCAAATCACCAGTCAAAAAAGAAATTACTATTAGTTAAAAGAAATTCATTTAGTAATCAAATAGAGTATACAAAAAGATCCAACAAAGGGAGCATTATGTTGTGGACCCGTGTCCATTATGTACATGGTCGACACGCTGTGCATTCATAATTTCTATATTGTACATTCATAATTTCTATACTGTAGATTCACAATTTCTATACTGTAGATTCATAAAATTTATAATGTAGATTCATAATTTCTATACTGCACATTCATAATTTTTGTACTGTAGATTCATAATTTCTATACTGCACAATAAGTTCTGTACTGTAAATTCATAATTTCTATACTGTAGATTCATAAAATTTATAATGTAGATTCATACAGTACAGAAATTATGAATATGCAGTATAGAAATTATGAATCTACTGTATAGATTTTATAAATCTACAGTATAGAAATTATAGATCTACAATTTAGAAATTATGAATCTACAGTATAGAAATTATGAATATATAGCGTGTCCACCATGCACGTGGTGGACACGAGTCCATAGCATAATTTGCCCCAACAAAGGTATGCATTTCATAAAGTGAATAATATGAAGTACATTTAAGGAGGGATATGATGTAAAATGTAGAATAACTTAAGTTTTTATTACTTTCCCTTTCTTCTCACGGTAAAATTAGAAATGAGTCATGAGTTTACACTTATCACAGCCCGTTTGGTTTGTTGAAAAATATTTAAAGGGAAATGAAATTCAAATTTTATGGAAAATAATTTACCAGGAAAATAGATTCCATTGTTTGGTTAGTGAAAAAGAAATTACTGGGAATATAAATTCCATTGTTTGATTGAGTTTGGAATGATAAGAAATTATGAATATATGTTGGAAAAATAGCATTAAAATGACACAAAATGACATGTTAAGTGACTATTTTGTGGTACAATTATCAGTGGGTTCCACTTCCGATTTGGGTCGGGTCAAAATGGATTCAGGTTCTTCGTAGTGAGACGAAGATATTGATATATAATACGCTCAAAAAGGATAATGGGTGAATGAGATATTGATTCTCAAAGTAGACCCATTGAGTTGGAAAAATGAAGGGAGAAATGAGCTTTGTCCCACATTGGTTTGGAAAGAGGATTCCCCCCCCCCCCCCCCCCCCCCCCCCCCCCCTTTTTATACAAGAGCTCATTTGGAGCTTCTAGAATTGTATAGCATAGAGGCTCTCGCGCGGGGGGTGCGGAGGTGCAAATCAAATTCCAACTAGAAACGAGATCGAAAAGGCTTGATTCAAACCCGAGCTCGTGTGCCCCGGCACCTGCGGGCACGAATGTCGTCCGAAAATTGGCCACACCACGAGAGTTTGAACTCTCGTGTGCGTTACACAAGAGATCAAACTCTCGTGCGCTGTCATGAAGTCACACGAGAGTTCGAACTCTCGTGTGCGTTACACGAGAGTTGAACTCTCGTGTTGTGAGCACACACGAGAGTTCAGTCTCGTGTGCACTAACGCCCGAAAGTGACTGCCTTGGGCGAAAGTAACCGAGCTGAAACAGCGCGAACCATTCGTTGGTCCTGTTACAGAATTAATCTTGTATTAATTCCAATTTTAAATTTTTTGAGTTAAATCTCAAATAATGGTGGCTGTTTCAGGTGTTACAAATCGTGCACTAAATGCCAAATTGAATGCTATTGATTCCTCACCTCCTATATAAGAAGAGTATAGGAGCAGCAAGTTTACAACACAGTGAAGTAGTGAAAAACTACGGACTTAGAACAACACACACAACACAGAAAATATTGTTTTCCCAGCTCCAAAATCTCTGCTCTTACTCCATTCTTGAAGCTGTGTTCTGCCCGTGCTCTTGTTCGCCGGGTTCGTTCGTTTAGGTGCTCAAACGTCAAACCGTTGTACGTTTTATCCTGGGAAGTCTAGGCCACAACACCCCTAGAACTCTTGGGAGGTGGCAAATAAGGTTTTAAGGAAAGAAATGGACCTCGTCTAACTCGTACTAATCTTTCTTCCTCTACTTCTTTCTTGTTTTGGATTATGCTCTAAGCAAAAATCCTCTCTTCTTTCTTGTTGATTGGAGTTATAATCTAAGGATTATAAGTTCCATTCTTGGTTGATATATATTGGTATATCTTTTCATAGATTATATCCGTTATATATATATTTGTGTAATCACGGATATATATTCACGGATATATCTATGAAAAGATATACCAATATATATCAACCAAGAATGGAACTTATAAAGTTCAAATGCGGCGGAATTCCAGAGTACACCAACAGTGTAAGAAAAACACACCACAATGAAATGCAATAGAACATCACAAAATACACAACAGACCCAAAAAAAATACACCATATAACTCACCACCCCCAATGGTGTATTTCCGAACACTGTATGGTGTTTTTACTCACACCTAATGGTGTGTGTTTGGTGATGCGGGGCTCTGTTTACTCTGTTTTTTGTGGTGTATTTTCCTAACGTTGATGATGTATATTTGTTGAATTATTGGTGTTGTCGCACCGCCGCACCGTAAGATAATGCCGCACTTGAACTCGCCTATACACACACACACACACACACACACACACACACACACACACACACACACACACATATATATATATATATATATATATATATATATATATATATATATATATATATATATATATATATATATATATCGGATACATATATATCAAATAGTATTTTATATATTTTCGTGTGTATATATAAAAATACTATTTTGGGATATTAAATCGATTTTGGTTCATTATCACAAACAATCTTAAAACCTTATAATTTTTATAATGAACAAGTCGTTGGATTCCAAAAGTGTTGGATTCGTGAATGTTGTCGGAGGTGCACATTCAAATAGTCGGAACGGCAACGATGTTGCACATTCCGTGATGCCGGTTAACGGCAGCAACATTGGAAATGATATTTCCATGGGAGTTGCTAAATCACACGATAGTGCTATGGAGAACTTTGATTCACGATCCGGTAGACAAGTGGCTGATGGCACGCAATTGGTACCTATTGTGATGCCTAATGGATCGACTAAACGCCACGAAGGATCCAGTGTTTATGTGACCACTACATGGTCTGAGGACTCTTGTAGTGTGACTAATGACTTCAACCGTAATCAAAGGAAAGGCAAGCGGAAGCTAGCTTTCAAGAAGATTATGAGAAGAAGGAGAAATGTCACTATGAAGCGAACCATCATCCTGGTGAAAAGGTTGATGACAATTTCGCTATGTTTAAAACATGTGGATGGTTGGACGAGTGAGGTCACAACCGAGGTACCCCCGATGTGCGCTATGGACCACCCTTCGTGGAGTGGACGGTTGGAAAATGGAACAAGGCACACGGGTTGAAGGACTACTATGAGATAGGAATAAAGAATTTGTTTCCAATGTAGTTTTTCCTATTTATTTATTTTGAATAAATGTTGTAGTATCCTTGTGATACATTTTATTATTGAATA